TTAGGATATATTAGAGCAATACATTTCGAACAGTCTGATCACACACAATATGCTTGTTAAGAACATTTATATATAAAGATAAAAAGATAAGTTTAGGATACCATACCATTGTTATTATTATTGTTATTATTATTATTACTAGACATGCTAGCCGTTTTGAGAAATTTAGTAAGCATCCACCCCTATCTACTAATCCTTGCCTAATTCGCATTATTCTACATATTATGTATATTGTGTGCGATCATATTGTTCGATATGTATTGCTCTAATATATCATAACATAGTTCTGATAATTTTTGTCTTCTTATTACACTATCGTAATTAGCGATTTGATTTGATTTAATTTTATATGACAAACAATCCTTGATTCATATGTTACAAATGCTCTGGTACGGCCAAGAGTGGGGAGAGTCGGCTCTCCCTCACCAAATGCTCTCATATGGTCACGTGCATACAATCGCTGACAGGGAAGTCCTACTCCCTGCACTCTTAAGGTAGAGGTGTTTTTTTACAAGGATGAGAGGACAAAAAGCGAATGCCCACTGCTTTAACTGGGTCGGTGGACACGGAGGGTCCACCTAGGGGGGTTGGAAGACCCTGATTCCAAACCGACGTTACACATGGGCTCCAGGATCGTGGGGGGAAATGGCGTATGAACCTATGGTTAGTGACCGGCCACCATGTGACTGCATCTCCTGACGTTGCTCCACTGTCTTGTGGATCAGACCTCTATGTCAAAGACTCCGGGTGTGGACTCCTAAAAAAATCACCAGCTTTGGTCTGGGCACCTGGGTAGTATCACAGCCTATACACAAATCAAGTGACTTATGCGGCACATATGTATTCAGTGTCCCTTATTTATGTGTTTAAATAAAAATAATTAAATGATGTACTCTGCCTTAAACCTGGCCAATTTTATGGATCATTAATTTGGATTTATAATTGTAGAACCTGATGAGAAATTATTGAAAAGAGTGTTCTTCGTTTATATAATTGTGTTTTAATATAATGGGGATTTCTCAGCGATTGTAATCCATTCCAACGTTTCAAACGACAAATCAATCTAAGCTTCTTCAGAGAAGTAATCTCAATTAAAAAGTATATTCGATAATTCTAAACATGTAATTTATGGATATGATGTCTTTAATGTACTTGACATTAAATTTCTATCAAACCGTTCGCTCAAATGTTCATATAGGTGCTAAGAACGTTTAACTCATAAACTGATATCATATGGAGAGAACTTTTACCGACTTTGGGATACTAAAGCAACACAAATAGATCTAGTTTTAACTTTGCCACAACATAAACGATCAAATCAGAAACATTTATGTTTCATGATAGTATCAGTTACACACATTTTATTAGGAGATAATATTTGTACATTAGCAATTTGTTACGATTGGTGATGTAGTGCGATAGTCATCCGATGTCATCTGTAGGTAACTACTACGCTTCTACCTTGCTTGATTCGATATATAGCGGCGTCTCAATCGGAATTCAGTTGTTTCATCTTGAAACTAGTGACTACTAGTGAAAATACGATTTGTTCAACCTAAGCAAGCTCTTTCATACTCGATAAATACCAATTAAATAACAGAATACAAAGTAAAATTTGATTTGTTGTTGAGAACAGTAATATAAATTACCTATTACGTTGTATTTCTCAGCTTTACACGTATAACCATATTTTTTTGCTTTAAAGTTTGTGAAAATCTAGTCGAAATAATTTACAATCAATATGCGAATCTGTATTTGGATTACAAAAGACAAACAAACAAATAAATAAACATTCAGCAGTTTTATTCATTACTCTATTTTCATGTAACATAGTGATTTAGTTAAATGAAATAAAATGTCACAGATTTAAATCATGAGTCAGTTGAAGTTAGACCACCATGGAAAACCTGGAAGCAGTGGACAGCCGTTTCGTCCTAGTATGGGACTCTTCAGCACTGCGCATCCACGATTCCGCACCCCGCAGGATTCGAGCCCAGGACCTACTGGTTTCGCGCGCGAGCACTTAACCATTAGACCACTGAGCCGGCATCCAACAGTGTTAATGTCTAACTTCAACCAATCCACGAAGTTGCGCCACCGTATACCATTGTCTTCAGTGAACTGATATCTCACAACAGACCTGGTTGAACTCCACTGGTAACGGCTTCCCACTAGAACTCCAGGAGTATCTCTTGAAGTCAGTCACTAGTGAGCAGATGATTATTATCAGAAGGGGTGTGTGGAGATTTTAGAGATTTCAGTGGTCTAATGGTTAGATGCTCGCGCGCGAAACCAGTAGGTCCTGGGCTCGAATCCCGCGGGGTGCGGAATCGTGGATGCGCAGTGCTGAAGAGTCCCATACTAGGACGAAACGGCTGTCCACTGCTTCCAGGTTTTCCATGGTGGTCTAACTTCAACTGACTCATGATTTAAATCTGTGACATTTTATTTCATTTAACTAAATCACTATGTTACATGAAAATAGAGTAATGAATAAAACTGCTGAATGTTTATTTATTTGTTTGTTTGTCTTTTGTAATCCACTACATTTGACATTATTTCCCCATCTTTTGTGTTGCATAATCACGACTTATCCATTTGCTCATTGATTGGCTAGTGCAAGTAAGATATCAAAATCTCAAGGTCACTTCGAGAGTCACTTAAAATTGACAATGTGGATAGTGTAGTAACAATATAGTAAATCGCTTCATTTACTAACCGTTTTTAATTAAGAAATCATAAGCCAAAATATTTCTAAGAGATTAGTTGAAGCCATGAATCACATAACTAAATAACAGTCGAATACATTCAACAATAATATTACTTAGTGAATAATCAGTAATCATGAATTAATAGTAATGTGCTCATTAATCTCAGGTTTTTGATTATTTTAAGAAATATTGGAGCTTAATTACTGTGAAAAATTAACATATTAATTATTGGGACTAAGACAGTGATGAATTATGCAGTTAATGAATGTCGAAATGTTTCTTCGAAAATCAACTTTAACAAGATGAAAACATACCGATTGTTTCTTATTACTTAAACAGATGTTTATCATTATAACCAATGAAATAATTTCAGAGGATGATTTTTGTGTAACTAAATGAACATTAATTTCAGTTCTGTTGTAATTTCAACTTCTTTTTAAATGTCATTACAATCATCATTCGTCTCTTTCTTCTTCTTTTTATTCTTCATCATCATCATCATCATCATCATCATCATCATCATCATCAATAAAACGAAAATTCCATATGTAATTCACTGACTTAAATAGTTTAATTTCAACGGATATTTACACTTATTACATTTCGAACAGACTATAATTAATTTTTGAAGAAGTTTCATTATCATTGACCAAAATAGTATTCTTCTTCTGAGTCGTATATATATATAATATAGAAAGGCCTAGTTTATTTTGATGGTACTTGCTAGACAAAATGTCATGACTTAGAAATAATGTCTCACAATTCTTTATTTTACCAATGCCACAGTAATTATTCCACTGATTAGTATTGATATGATTGTCTTTTTCAGCAGAATGCAGTTAATTTAATGAAAATGAAATGTAGCAAAGATATAGCTTGTGACTTGATTTCACTTGTTGATTTAGCATTCTACACTGACCTATTACCGGGTAGTATGCTGACAGAATTTTATCGTACACTTTTACCTACATTAGTGCGAAAATGGAGGAGGAGTCTACCTTCCCTATGATAGCACCTATCCCTGTGTGTATGCCATGGGACCTATGGGTCCCCAGGTTATTTATTTTAGGCAAGCATGTAGCATATACTTAGTAAAAAATTCCACAAAAACAGATGTCACACTTTGATGGCGATGTCATGAATAAATCCAGATAAGTCAATCGGCTTTACCAACCAGGTTTCTCTATTCTGTATAACTGAAGGGGTACTACTGAACATTTCGGACAATGATAAGACTTAAGTTCGACTGAGTTATTAACATTGATGTTAAGTATTCTATTATTGTCGATTGAGAAGTAAGCTTTCAAAATCTTGCTGAATATAAATCATCAGCCAAGTACTTTAGGCTAGTATTCTCTTTTAGATTACGGTACTTCATGTGAGGGATAACAGTGTCGAAATCTCCATTAGAGTTTGAACGTGTGGCTCAATATTTAAAAATGAGTTTATGGTGGACTTTGTCGGGAGCCTTTCGATAATTTTTCATAAATTCATTAGAAGCTAGAAAATCTCTAAAGAATACTTGGATCATTCTGGAATTTTTAAAATCTCTAACGAATATCTAAAATTACTAACTGTTGGTTTTAGCATGTTTTTCCGGAAGGTACTATAATCTCCAGATAGTAAGTAATAATAAAAAAATCTCCCGTTTTCCGTACATATTCTGACCTTCGAGCATAGGCTAGCTGTTTGTACTTAGTGCTAAGCTGAGCTATCGTTATACTTCAAAAGCAATTTAGAAATACTGCTAAATAGATGACGTACCCTATTTGACTTCACCATTGTTGACTACATTTACAGAAAAATTTAAACTAAATAAGCGAGTGATATTTTGTTACTTAATAAGGTACTTTGAAATGTATGGTTGTGTATGTATAATAGAAGCAACAAACTAGTATTGTGACCGATGAAGTTCAAGTACTTAGTGAGTGCGACTGTTCTACACTCGATGATATTGTATATTTGTTTAGTTATATCAAGAAATGCTGAATGTGCAAACTATGCATCGTTACATGATGACTCAGAAGCTAAGTATTTCTGTACTCGTAAGATAGCCTGAAAGCCCAGAGGATCGATCACATTTGGTGTGGTGTGTGCACAGTACTGATTTATCTGGTACGGGTGTAATTCATCTACATAGTTCAACTTAGCTTTTAGTGTTTTTTCAACTGATATCAACACATAATAAAATCTATCTTTGAAAATCAATAAGTTTAAATTTAGTAATAAAAAAATTTGTTGATAGACCCAATGAATTCTGACTTTGTTTTTTGATTTTCTAAACTTCAGATAGATATATTCCGTCAGTTAATGATAATTTATCAAGATATCTATTTACGCCCAGAGAATATTACATTAGTCGATGGATGTCTGTCACGGATCTACGTGGACAACCATTAGCTGTAAGAATAACTAGTACTGGTCAAAGTGACTCGACTCCAACGAGCTGGTCTGATCTCAGTGGTATTGAACCAATCAACGGAATAAAATGTGTTTTAGACCCGATATATCCTATTGGACAACGTCTAAGCCAATCAGCATCTGTGTTTGAACATTCACCCACACAAACTCGTGACATTACGCCTAATCTACATTTGCATGTAAACAATTTTAATCGTATTAGAAGAGTTAGTTCAAGATGTTTTACACGAAAGCATCAATACAATACAGTATTTGGATTAGATCCTTGTTGGTCAACTTTATCTGGAAGTCAATTAAACGTTATTAACAATAATAGTGGAGTTAAATGTCAAATTGAAGAAACATCACATTATGAAAATTTATTGGAAAAACGTAGTAAACATAACGTTGAAATCGACCTTATTTGTAAAGAAAGTCAAATGTGTATTCCGCAAAAACAATCGAAAATTAAATCGTGTGAATTTCTAAATGAATCTATATTGTCTTGTAAATTATCGAACCGTATTAATAAATCAACCGGTGTTATCAATGATGGCTCAGAGTACAGTAATGTCATTACATCAAATCATACAATAAAACATCATCAAAGAAAGGTTAAATTGTCACCTAAAAAACATTTCCTATTCAAAGAACTAGATCATATCTGTATACCATCAAAAAAGTTTATAAAACTATTTAAATTCAAACGTAAAAAAGATGCTCATTCTATTAGTGAGAAATTTGGAACACAATCACAATTAGAACTAGCTAAATCTGTAAAAACCTTATATGATGTTGGACAAAGTTTACTTGAAAATTCAGGAGATAGTGTAAGTAATCTGAACATACTTGAAATTCAACAACAACAACAACCATCATGTTCATACAGTACTACTGATAAATTTAATCTAAGTTGTTTAAGTATCCACATAGATGTGGAGGAACAACCTATCAAAGATACAAACAATGATGATATTTTTCACCAGTCACAATGTTTACAAGTCACACCGACTCAATCAGCGGACTTCTCTGACTCTGGATTATGGAGTATGAGTCAAATGGCTACTGAAGATTGTACTAATTCACTACAACAACATCTCATATCATGTTCAGAGAGTCCAGTATTCCATTATTACACCAATAGTGACAATAATGATTATAATAATAGTGATCAAACAAATGAGATACGATTACAGAAATCAATCACAAGTCCAACAAATGAATCAAAGTTTGCAGAGATAAGACTATCACCATGGTCATCGTTAGAAATAGGAGATGGTCAACGGAGTAAAGAATTCAAATTAGAAAAATCAAATCAACCTACTGATGCTACTACTACTATTACTACTACTACTAATAATAATAACACCAATACTACAACTAATATATCAAATGAACATGGATTAACTTGTATTCCTTTGAACCAAAAAGCCGGTGTGCAAAATGATACATTTTTATTATTAAACTGTAATTCTGAACAATTCGTTAAAGATCAACTATCAAATCCTTCAGTTAGTAATATAAACGAACTTAGAACAAGTGAAGCTTTAAAATTATGTAATAATGATAATAATAAAAATGTAACTCACAACTTTAATGGTCCTGTGAAAAGCCAAATGTCTTGTACACTGAATTTGAAGCCTTTTAGTTCAAATTCAACCTCTTTCGAAGAGAGTAAAAATGATAATGAATCATTACACTCTCGTATTTCGAAATCAAAACAAAATTCTCCTCAAGAAAATTATGTTTCGTCAATTTATCTTTCGAAAACACATAATAATAATAGTGACAACGCATCCTCTAAAGATTTTACACAACTTTCGACTTTTCAACAAAATTCAGTAATTTCGCGAATTGTGCAAAATAATAGTATGTTGTCAGAGTACAGTTTACCTTATAGAATATCTACAACATATGATGTAATTCAGATATTCCCTACTACAAAAATATATGATATAAATAATAAATCTGAAAATAATTTGTCCACTGTGAAAGTTACTGATTATAAACGATCTATCGGCACTCATTTAATAAACAATAATGGTAGTTTGGATGTGGATCCCCTTCAAATAAATCAAGATATCAAAGGGATTATGAGATACCCTACATTAGAACAACAAAATCCCTACTCTAATGAATCAACTCCGTTGAATACGGATCAAATGATGATGATCAATTCACAAATAGACATTAACGTTAACTCTTCCAAGGACTTATCATTAATTAGTGTAGAATGTGAGAATAATTCGACATTTGATTCAGATATTAGACAAAATATGAATCCCTGCGTTATAAACAACATAAAAACTTTAAAAAAGTCGTTGATGGAGTCAGAATGTACAACTCACTTGCCAATATCATTGAGTACTGATACATCTGAAAATAACCATTATTTAAATAAAAGTTTCATTCAGTCACTGGACAATAATGCGGAAAACCCTGAATACCTTAACGTTGTTACTGACCATCAAACTAACCAATTACAAGTTACAAATAAATGTTTGCCAAAGCAGCCCAATGAACAATTGACAACGACGCGAATTATTGAGGATATCACAGAATTATCGTCCGCCCACGTTTCTACATTATTCAACCAACAAAGGAGGGATCCATTAATTATTCCTGATCATGCACATGATGTACACATAGATGAACGATTAAGTGTCGGTTCACTTAACGGGTCCATCAGTGACCAATTAGCGAATGATCACTCAGTGCCGTCAACCGAGGTGAAACAAATCTTTTCATCTATTACGGAAACATCACATGAAGATATGAAACCATTATATTCGAAATCAGATTTGAATAATACCCGAACCTTGAATGACAATTATTTGTTGGATAATTCATGTCAAAATTGGATGATGGCGTTATCAAATGAGCTTACCAATAGGATAGATGATTCATCGGAAACGAAATATGATTTTGATCAACTAACCAAAGGAATGTCAAATGACAGCAAAAAACTGTCCACTGATCTTGAAATCAACAAATTACCAACCGAGAAAAAAGTTTCTTCAGACGAAATAAGTCAGTCGTTGACAATTTTACAACCCCATAATGAAAACGTAGAAGTTTCATGCAATAAGCTTCATACACCTACTAAATATCATAACAGAAAGTTTTCCTTGAACGAGGAGGATATTTCCATTGATGTCAGCTCGACCAAAGGTGACCATTTACAAGATCCACATGATGAACAGACTAATAGTGAGCAACCCTTTGTGACTGGTACCGCTGAATCGATATCTTCAAATGTTAATACATATTATACGGATGGAACGAATTTCTACGTTACTGAACCGTTATATGAGAATACCACAATCGATTTGACAAACCTAACTCAGTCAGTAAGAAAATTATCGATTAGCCCTGATAGTCTCCATAATAATGTACTGGATATCGACGCTCAGTTTAATAAAGTCATTAAAATAGAGAATGGTCTTATTGACTCTCGAGTTAAGGATGTTTTGCAAAAGTGTTCGTTAATGGACATGAACACTTTGCCAACTATAATTGACACAGTAAGTTCTTCATCCATACAAGTTCCATTATTAATCAAAAATAAGCCTGTAAATTGTTTAATTAACAATATCATATTAAATGAAGACAGTTTAACTGCAGAAATGAAATTATTAACCACACTAAATAAATTGCTGAGTGATTACACAATTACCGACTATCCACTCGAAGAGAAGAATACATCGAGTCTGTTGTCATCTTCAAATACAAATAACTATTCTAGACTGAAGATGGATCATGAAACTAAGAATCATTTCAAAAAACCATTTTTTGACGTGCCTTTAGAAAAACAGTTTCACCATGGAGATCTTGAGAACATCACTGCACCCAGCAACAAAAGACATAATGACAGCTTACAAACTACTAGTAATGATTTTGTTCCACCGAAAAATTCAGGTGAATTCCACGAGTTAGAACAAACTATTGAAGACACTCCAGATTATAATGATAACGAATATTATCCAAATACATTGACCTCGTCTGATAATCCCATGACAATAGAACCTATTACAACTACAGGTACTACCGTTGCTCAGTCTCCAAACCAATCTACTACAAATTCAAGTTCATTATCAAATGTAAATGATAATCTTGGAAATGATACTTTCACAGAACACTCTTCATTATTTCCCATTGATTCAGTAAAACAGTTTAACGTTTTGAAAGTATCAATACCAGATAATACAGACGGTTCAATATTCAAAAAATCTGTCAGTATGATTCATAAGGAAACTAGAGATAATGCTGGACGGTTGATTAGTCTGCTCGAAAAGGATACAAAATCTACTAATCAGTTAGATTTAACATCCAAGGATGTATTTATCGAAAATAAACATACATGTACAGTCCCATTGATTGCATCTCATCATGAAGAGGACTGTCATCAACCACGTAGCATCGACTTGTCTGAGAAAACTGTTAACTTACTAGGATTTGATGACTCTTTCTTAACTGGATTACTGCAAGCAACTGACGAAGATTTACTTTGGACCAAAATTAACCATTTGCAGTATCCACATGACCAGAGAACTAATAGTGAGAAGTCGTTTATGAATACTACCGCCGCATCATTATCTTCAAATGTAAACAAATATTGTTCGGACGGAACGAGTCTCAGTGTTATCGAGCCTCTAAGTGAAAATTGCTTAATCGATGTAAAGAAATTAATTCAACCTATTCATAATAATAATACATTCAATACTGACACTCGATCAGAGTTTACTAGTCAGTTATATGTGACATATAAAGATGAATTTATTGAGGATAATCATGCATGTACAATTTTATTGATCACAGCCTATAAAGAAGAGGACTATGGTCCGATGTATGGCATCAATTCGCCTTCAAAAGCGGTTGATTCACTAGGAATTGAAAACTCTTCATTATCTAGATTACTTGAAAGAAATGCTGACAACGATAACGATTATATGGCTAGTGATGCTACTACTACTACTACTCCAAGTGTTGCTCCTAATGATGACACCGTACCACATGATTTAATTATATCTCCTACATTTACCGATAAAACAAATATATTATTATCTAGTGATATTTCAGATAATATTGAACTTAAGTTTGACAACGGTTTATCTTCACTACCACCTAGTCGAGATAGTGAACATTCATTGAATAATTCACTAAATAATTCCTTGGAGTTAGATTTCAGGTCAACAATAAATAAACTGTATTCTTTAATGCAATATGAATATGAGTTTACCGATAACAATAATAATTATTGGATTGATCCTGGTAGTTTAAACGAAGATGTTGAAACTATAGCACAGCCAATGAGATCGATTGCAACTGAAAACTCTTTAGAACAGCCAGAATGTACATTGAGTATTTATAATACACCATCACAACAGTTATCAGTAGTACCAACAGCAGCAGAAGCAGCAGCAACAACAACAACATTAACAGCAGTACAAAATCCGGTTCATCCAATCAATGAGATTTATATTGATGAAGACTATATTGCTCATTTGTCATTAGATGATAAAAATACGAAAGGTATTCTGGAACCTAAGGTAGGTACACAATACTGTACTGTATCACACTACAAACTTAGCAGTAACCAGTGTTATGTATTATAATCTACATTAAAAACTAACTGTAGTTTGAAAACCAATAAACCTCTGAAAGCACTAGACTACTAATTCGTCCTATTATGTGGGACGCTTGATTAGTAAACATTCACTACCCCATAAACGATCAAACCTGAATCCTTTAGGTCTCGCGACAAACGCCTAGCATCTAGGCTACGGAATCAGAATCTATTAATTTCAAATTTTAATTCCGATTAATTTGCGATGTTACACAACTGTTATTTAATCTCGCTGTTGGTCACAGTTTCTCGCTAGGACTTCAAAAACTACCATTCAAAATTAGTTACCAGTACAAAAGTCAATCATATCGAGTGAGAAGTCGTTACCCACTCATAATATTGGCAGATGGTGTCCCAGTATCATGAATAATTTAAAGTTAAGCTACCACACCAGTAGATCTCGCCCAATGATCTTGACGTGTTTGCATGGGACACCAAAGTTCCTGGATTCGATTCTCGGTCTCGGGTGGTGAATATGCACTCATGAGAAGTTCAGTACTAGGACTAAATGGCTACCCGGTGCTTCGGGATTTCTGATATTTATCTAACTTAGATTGGTCGTGATCTCAATAAAATTATCAAATTAGTTAGAGGATAGCACTTATGTTTCAACACTAATGTTGTTTTCTCGCAAATCATGTTTGTCTCATTTATCTGATAATCGATCCATCAATGTAAGTCATTATTGTTTGCTCAGATTAATGTATATACAAATAAGAAATAAACCATTAAAGTTTCATTAAAATGAATTCCAATATTCACATTGATTATCGTCTGTGTATGTGGAAATGAAGGTATTTATTTACTTTGTAGTTATATTAATAAGAAAAAAACACTTCAGCAGTAATAACGATAATATAGCTTCTCAATTACTTTTTCATCATGTCTCTACATCAACTTATATATTGAATTTATAGTGACAAATCAATACTAGTCGAGTGGTTGTGTTACATAATAATGTTATCATTTCACAATTTATTATGAAAATTTTATCGAATGCATAACTAAGTGATTGAAAGAGAGAAGATAAGATAGTTATAGAGATTACAGTAATTACTTGTGAAAAAAATCTTCTTAGTAAGAATGGATATCCCATTAAACTCATTAGCATGCACAATAATGAGACAAAACTAAAACTAATGGTAATAATTACTCCAAAGAAGATACTTTTCTCAAAGTTACAGTTTAAAACGATACAGCCAGTGGAATGCTAACATAAAGGCTAAGAGAAGCTGTGCAAGAAACACCCAAGCACCCAAGCTGTATGCCTTTTTTACAATCGTTGGGTGACAAGTACCACCAACAAAGACAGACTGCATGAATTCGCCACATCGATATACTTTTGACAGTTTGACTGTCCCTGTAGAGTTAGTTGAGGACAGTTAAAGTTTATTGAGAGATTTATTCTCATTCACTTGGTTAAGACAGAACATCAAATGGATTTTAATTGAGGCTTCCAAAGTTATCCACAGATTTTCATCAAATTTGCCCCATGTTTTATACAATAGTCCTTTGCACACCTCAGAAGCTATCTCTGTTCTCATCCAGAAACCTGACTTATGTAACCAAGAGAAGTTTTTAGGTTACCTATCTCAGATTTGACTATTGATTGAGATCAAACAAAAGTGAGTAAATCCACTTTCACTGGCTTTCCACGTTTCTGCCACTTTTGTGTCCATACATCATCCTAATGTCTGTCTCCATTCTTTTTCAACTCTCATTAGATTTACTTTCCATCAAAGTATTTTGTTAATTATTATGTATTATGTAATCTGACAACTGTTGATCTACATATTTTCAGTTTTTACAAATGACTACTGAAATTGAGTAAATACTCCTTCTTTCAGTCACTGAGTTGTTTATTTGACATTATTTTTGCAATCACTTGCGGAATGATAGCATTTCTGAGTAGCACTACTACCCGACTAGTATTATTTTATTATTATTAGCATGGGGGATTTGTGAAGACTGTACAATCTTCATAGGTTTTATGTCACGGAGTGACCTCAGTCAAACCACCATCAAACACCTGGAAGCATTCAACAGCCATTTCGTCATAGTATGGGACACCTCAGCAATGCATATCCACAACCCCAAAGCCAGGAATCCAATTCAGGACTTTTGGTCCCAAACAAGAACGCTTAACCTTAAGACCACTGAGCAGGCATCCAGTGGTATACATATCTAACTTCAATCAGTTCTTGATACTGAGTGATCATCATCTTTTGTCATCTGTGAATAACTGTCTATGATGTAGTTCCTGAAGTTCTGGTTAGAAGCTTTAACCAGGAGAGTTCAATCCGTGTCGGGTTTGATAAATTTATCCACAGCAGGTTATGGAGGATGATCGCGCAATATTGACTGAAGTTAGATATGTACATTATTGGTTGTTGGCTCAGAGGTCTTGAGGTTAATCGTTTACGTGTCAGACAGAAGGTCTTTAGTTCGATTCCTGACTTCAGGGTTAGGGATGGGTGATCCTAGAGAGTCCCATGCTAGAATGAAGAAACTTTTACGTGCCTTCTAGTTTTCAATGCTACCGTACTTAAGATCAATGTGTGACCAATACGACCCATATAAACAAACTTTTGTCTTCAAAGTTACAGATTTTAATGTTTGTTTTATTCACCTGGCTTTTTCTTTCTTAAATAACAGATTGATAAAAATAATGAAGAACACAAATCAAATCAACGTTTTAAATTCACTTCAGGAGCTTACAATCTTTTTACTTCAGTTTTCAATTTGGGTAAGTTTGGTTTTTGGAGTTTAATAAAATTTCTATTATTCCTATCTGGTAATCTGTTTTTTTCACATTGTCAACCTATGAAATCAGATCCAAATGTGTAAAAGTTGTGTTCACCCTCTGTTTCCGTCTAATTTTTTTCGGACATTTCGGACAGTAGTCTTCTTTGTTTTACGTGTATATCTCATATTTAGATTTAGTTCAAACCGATTCCTCTCTTGTTGTAAAAGTGTTAGTGTTATGAGTGAGATGTCAGTCAATATTTTGAGAAGTGATTCGCTAATTTAGAATCCTGTAACATTTCTCTAACCCACGTACACTATTTCGGCTATCACCTAGTATCCTAAGCTTTGACCATTTATACTCTCCGATTGACGAGGTTAAGCTTGAGTTGAGTTTGATAATAATCTTAACTTTTATTAGTCTAGAACGGTTGTCTTGGTTCCAGCCTAGTCTTTGGTTCTGTAATAGAAGGCAGAAAGAAGCGCAGGAGTGTATTTTATGTGGATCGGTTCAAAAGGTAATATAGATTTATTTCCTGATTTCAAATCTACATGAATATGTAATTATAATATACGCGTAACTACTTCAAAAATGAAAGAGAATAGAGCAAAAAGGTAGATAACTAATTAGCCATAATTAAGGAATAGTAAAACGTACAGAAATAGTTAATGGGTTCAGTGAACGCCTATAATATGGACTATATAAAAATACAAAAATACAGTTATTAAATAATTACATAATGAAAATGCAAATAATGATAGTCCGTAAAATAGTTCAGAAAGTTCATTCACAATATTTACTAAGTCACAATAATTAAGTTGGTAACTTGAACTTGTTTGTTTTTGCGATAGGTCCTTCTTTGATTACGACTGGCCAAATGAATAAATTATGTCTATCCTTTGAATGGATGCTTATGGAAAGTTTTGTAATATACATAACAGACAGTGGTCCAACGATACTTGATTTTCAATATTATTATGATATTTTCTAGCAATCAAAAGGTTTATGTTAGATGCATGTTGTAAATTCATTCTGAGATACTGGAATGGATGTAAATACTTTCAAGTCAGGAATTGAAAAGATATCTCTGTGTAACTTGTTTTTTTGCAACTGTGGAAAATATTACTACTTAATTACGTGTGTTCACAGTTTTCATAAGATGAATGATAACTGGCATTAGGCTTTAGGATAACACATGAATAGGTAGAAATTTACCATAAACTGCTTTCAATTAGCTCCGTAGTGTAATAAATAATTACCAACCAATACAAGATATTCCGAATACCACAGTCAAAAGCCCCATCTAAAGGTCACCAGGAAGCTTTACCAATTTTGATACAGAATGAAAACATTGTAATCCTCCGACCTGACAGAGGCTGTGGTATAGTGATGTGTGCGAATCAAGTAAATGTGATCCTAAATATTTCTATAAGATTGATTATTGATCATTCGGAGGAAGATATGACTGAGGCAGCAGAACAACGTGTTACAAAGAAATTAAAAAAGCTTCTAAAAAGGAAACTGAGTGATAATATCATATGTAATCAGTTGAAACCTGGAGGATCCGGGTTACCTGATTTGTATGGAATACTAAAAAATGAATCTGATGTTCCTGTCAGACCATTATTATCAATGATTAATTCTCCATTTCACACTTTTGCTCGTTGTTTGGTCAGTAAATTAGAACCAATCTGTTCAAAGCTATCTGTTCACAGATCAAAAGACACCTTTCAATTCACTCAACTTCTAGAAAAAAGTGGACCTTTCTGATAAATTCATGATTTCTTTTGGTGCATCATAATTATTTGCCATTAACCCATTGGAATAAACTATGCAAATAATATATCAACACGCTGACCTACTCGTTCTACAAGAGGATGAATTTGAATAGCTTCTGCCAATGTGTATCAATGATATTCGATTTCCGTTTAATAACCTCTTATATCGTCAGATTGATGAATCGGCTATCGGTAGCCTACTTGGTCTGATCCTGGCAAATTTCTTTATGAGAAACCCAGAACAGATAGTAGCGAAATCAGTAATCAATGATACATCGTTGTACGTTAAGTATGTTGATGACACATTTTGTGGACTGTAATGATTATCAGCATGCTTCTCATATACTGGAAATCTTCAGTGTGGCAAACGCAAATATTAGGTTTACAGTGGAACATGAACGTGATAATGTGCTTCATTTTTTAGACCTTGGTATGAAGCGTAATACAAATAGTCGATTGGAGAGAAATATTTATCGAAAGGACACATGGAGTGGACTATGCTCAAACTTCGATAGCTTCTAAATTCACTTGGTGTTATTTACTTGTATCTTCCTATTGTTATTTGGGACTGCAATTGATTAGTCTCTTGTTGGCATATGTGTATCCTGCGCGGATTGCCTCAATATAGCCTTAAATCACGAAATTTTTAAGCAATGATGGATAGTGGTTAGCAGTGGAACTCAGTTTGATGCGCGTTTCGTCCTATTTGGGACTCGTCAGTTGGATGTACCTGCATCCCAGAGTTGACGTTCATTCCAGGACTCGGGACTCCAACCCAATACCATTTGCTTCAGGTGCCATCGCGTTATTCACTTAGATGTCATTTAGACAATGACTTCACCTAACTATCTATATCTAATTGTGTTCTATCAATTTATAAATATTCTCTTATGCTAATTAACATAAAGCATTAAAATAGATAATTATCACATTAAAAAATCACTGTGCATAAAAAGAAAATAATCATTAAAATTTCATATCTAGGGAAATAATCATTGATTAGTTCAATATGTGAATAAAATAAGTACATAAATAGTTAAATTTTAAACGAAAGATAAAAGAATGCTGTTTTTGTTCGTTTGTTTTAAATCATATAGACAAGCTAATAAAGTGCATCTGAACAACGTAGTCAAATGGATAACAAACCAATCAATGATTGACTGCATTCTCATTTTCTCTTGATTGGGACAGTGTAGTTGAAGTTTGAATTTCAATGCAGATTTCAGTTGAAATTTAAACTATCTATCCTTATACATAGGATTATTGATGATCAATAAGTGATGGGTAGCTTTTGCATTCAAGCAGTCCATCTCCTTGACTCTATGCAGAATCATAATGAAACTAAACTCTATAAGACATGTAGCAAATTGAGGATAGTATATTTCAAAGAGTACTTGAGATTGAGAAGAATTTCTCAAAACGTTTCTTTTGAGAAGCTATGACTCATGCAGTTAACCAAACCCTGAGTTTACCTTATATGGATGTATGGGTTTACGTTACAAAAAAGTCTAAGAGTAGGGTGAAACATCTCTTTATTGAGTGGTCTTCCAAGATTCTCAATCAATCTTGATGATAAATACCATTGAATTCATCAAATTTACACAAACTACCTAATAAGATAAACTTTATAATCAGTCTTTCATAAAGTATGTACTGTCTTTTGTTTTGATAGGTGATCATTTAGCAGTTTGATTACTGGTATTTTTTTCATGAATAACGTTTCAAAATAATTCAATGAGTAACAAACATTTAAAATAAAGAACGTCACGAATAATGATTGCTCAGACATTCAATATTTCAGCCCGCTTGGTAACTTATTAATTATTAAGTACGTGAGATATCTCTCGGTCAGCCGAAGGATAGGTATTCTGAGCAGCAGTTTGTTCTATTCTACATTATGTCAGTTAAGCTTGACCTTTTAAAAAAAGGATGTTCATAGGTTACTAGTACTCGATCACAGGTGTCTTCGAAGCTTTGTTTGAGTACACTAGGACCAGTGAGTGAGAAATGTTGGAGTCAGGTATAAGATGCCAAGCAAAAATGACAAGTCGGTTGATGAGGTAGTGATTTCTCATCGGCTAGGTTGGTTGAGACATGTATCAAGCACGTCCAACCACTAGCTACTTCAACGTGTGATGTTCGATGCTACAGGAGCAGGTTAGAAAAAAGCAAGGGGTGGGTAAATCAAAACGTGGCATTAGTCTATGCAGTCATTGACTACTAGTTTTAATCGTGTTGGTAGGTTACATTATATGTCTTGTGAAAAAATTTTGTTGTTGGGCTTTGTTTCCTCCTATGGTGTTAAATAGTTGATGATGGAATCAAGACATCTAATATCCTGAAGTATTAGAAATTAACAGTGAAGTAATTTTAGGTAAATGACTAAAAATCAACCACGTTACAGCGGTTACGCTTGTTCGTTATGTTTATTATTTCTCAACGCTTTATTTAATTTGCTCCTCCTCTCGTCTATCGATGAGTTCATTTCCAATGGTATCAATACACGAACATCAATTAGCAGTAAAATGACACTTCCTGTTATTAATTATATTAATTAATCTTATGAATACAAATTCGATCACTGAAATTCCAAAATTCTGGATCTCGAAGGTTCGGAAAGTTCCAGTAAATTTCTGGAAACTTGGTATTTGGGCGAATTTCCAGTTAATAGACACGTCAATATGAATGCTATTTAATGATAAACGTGCAAAGTATCAACCAATGACTTGACCAGAGGTCAGCTGAACAAAGCAGTCAACAAGAATCTTAAAACAAACGAAGTGAGTAAGACATTCGACGGTAGCTATTTACAGAAAAGATCATTACAAAAGGTTGATTCCGAACTTGTGGAATAATTAAATTCCTTATTTCTATATGAAGTGCTAATGACGGTATCCTGAACTCCAGTGAAGTCATTGTAAATAAGTTTCAGAGCCCAGAGAACTTATTGCAATAGAAAGCATCTACCTGAGCTGAAAATCCGCATAATTTATAGTACTCTCTCTATACATTGTTGTGAAGTGTATGACACTTTGAGTAGATGCAGGTTTGCAAAAGATTTTATGTCGTAACAACTACTTATCATTTAAATGACAAGACTATGGAATTTTATTAGGTTATAAGGTTAAGTTTTATTCATTCACTAACTGCTTACTTTAGTCTATAATGCTGATACGTATAACAATAAAGTCAAACAGATCATGATATTTAGGTGAGTCAGTAAATGCATAAATCTTGGTATAGAACTTTAGAACATGTATACACTTCATGATTATGGATTTATAGATTAATACATATCTGAAGTATCTCTAAAAACCAATCCAACTAAAGTATATCTACTTTTATTAGTCCAATAATACTTATTTCATAGTCGTAATTCGTGTTCAAATTTATAATGTAAATGTATTTGAGTTCGATTTGAATCATTTCTTCAACCATTTAATCACATATTTGGGCAAATATTTTTATTAACGGTTTATATCAACTTGGATATTACACCAGGCAAACAGTACACATAAAATTTTATGTTTTTAATCAGTATGCTGATTTATATTATTTGTTGATGATACAAACAGTTGCTGATATAATCGTGAGAGCTAACAACTGTCACTTTGTTAGTGAAATAATGAGTGCAACTGTGTACAGCATTTTACTAGTATGCTGTAATCAAGAATCATTTTCTAAGTTATTATCTATTATACTGATTGTAGATTTATATCTGTTATTTGAGATTTAAATTTCAACTTTTTAATATCCACACATGAATATTCTCGTTCACAATAGAGCAAATTTTCTCTTATCAATAAAGGATAGAATTAAGTCAATGTTGCATATTTGAAGTGTTCACTTAGACTGTTTTCAGCTTGTAGATTCATTAGTTCCATTCGAAGAACCATGAATAGCTACTATGATGGGAAGAGCAAAATTAAACCATAGTTGAAATGTGTTTTAATCTCCAAAAAATCTTTAAAAATTCATTCATAAGCGCTAGAACCCATTAGCTACATTTGCCTTGAAAGACATCATGAAAAAATGTTAGCGTTTTTGTTGTCGAAAAATGCAACATTGCTGATTTTCTAAAGTTATTACAGGATACAGCGAACTGAATTTGATTTCAAACACCATTTTCTAAATTTTAAATAACAAATCCATGGATAAATTTTCAACAATTTCATTTTTATAATCAGAGGGGTTTTGTGGATATTATAGTAATTTAGTAGTTGAATTTATGAATCAATGGAAGCCAGACCACCATGGAAAACCTGGAAGCACTGGACGATCGTTAGATACCGGTTCAGTGGTCTAGAGGTTAAGCGCTCATGCGCGAGACTGATAGGTCCTGGGTTCGAATCTGGCGGGGCGGGATTGTGGATGCGCACTGCTGAGGAGTCCAACAACAGAACGAAACGACCGTCCAGTGCTTCCAGATTTCCCATGATGATCTATCTTTAATTGACCCATGAATTCAACTACTAAATTTCATTTCTCATAGTTCTAAATAATCTTATTGTTCATATGTGATCCACTGATTGTTGTTCGTCCAACTCTAACATAACTGATGGACATTTTCTTATAACATAAAGAGGTTGAATAAAATAAGCAAAATTAAAATGAATCAGGGAGAAAACAGATTTGAGTAATTAATGTGTGTGACTCTTAAAGAAATTGAGGTTTGAAGAATGATTAAATCATATGATTAAGTAATCTAATTTTCTTTAAATTGTTACAAGTGACTACGAGTGGATGAGTCAATCACACTTAGTTTATGCAAAATTTCCGTTGTTAAAACAAAGGCTTCGAGGTTGGAATTTAACACCATAAAAATATTTTTTGGATCTGAGATTCTGACTGATTGATTTGTAAAGTTTGATTAGATAATTATTTAAAATTATCATCTCAAGGTCATTTTATTCGACTTATCATTAGAGGGGTAAGCATTTGTGGAATGTTTAAATGATATAGCTCGAACAGTCTGAGATTCTTTAGGAAGTTGTAACTTTGAAATTAGGGAAAATAATATACCTTATTTAATTTATATCCATGTTACCTAGTGCAACGACTAAAGACCCGTTGATTCGAGTATTACTGGAAGTATCAATTACTTCCAATTTTCAAACGGTCCATGCTGATATGTGCTGATTAGCAAAAGAAGTTTGAAAAACAGATCGTTTCTGAGGAATGGAAATGAAAAGTTTATCATTAGTGAAATAGAAAATCTAATTAATACCCGTTCGAGTACAAATCAGTTTTGCCATTCGACAAAACAAACCACATTGTTTTTTTAAATTTTTCAATACTTTCTGCATGATGAACTGAGACCTACCACAAAATCATTGAAAACTAAGAACTACTTAAACGGTTGTTTGATATTTGTTAAACGTAGACATCTGTGACTCTGGGAAATGTCAAATTCAGATTACATCTTGTGGCTGGTGTTGAACCGAAATATATAACAGCCCTTATATTTACAACTACAGTCAAATTATTATTGAAAAGGGTCCGAATTATCCCATTGTTAATATTCAGAAATGAATTTGAGTCAATATTTTTGGCATATGTTAATTTTATGATGTTCGCTCCGATTTAACCATCTGGTCACAACTTTTCTTAAAAGCAGACAGGTTGTGGCTGTCGGTAAGATCTAGGACGCGCGTCTTGTCGTATTTGAGTTTCGTCAGCTGGATTTACCGACATCCCAGTGTTGATGTTCATATTGAGACCAAAACACGATAATTAAAACATAGTATTTCACGTTCATATTAGCTTTGTGTGGAAATTCTTATCAAGACAATAACTAACTTCAAATCAAACTTCTCTTTACAAGCTATTCGAATGAATCAGCAGTATAACGAATATATGATCATACTGTCCATGTCGGCGCCCTGATACCTAAAACACTGAACTTTCCACCACATTATTGTGGGGGGTGAACTCTGTTTCATCTTAGCCT